TTTTTTTTTTTTTTTTTTTTTTTTTTTTGGTGCCGGGGATTGAACTCTAGTCCTTGCGCTTGCAAGGCAGGCCACCAAACCACTGAAGTAAATCCCCGGCCCTCCTTTAGTGTTATTTCAAAATATTTGTTGACAGGTTTTAAGAACATATAAAAAGTGTGATTATAGATTGTAGAAATCAGAAAGAGAGCCCAAACTTAAGGCACCTTTAGATATTAGAACTGGATATGTATCTTCTATAATTTTTTAAAAAATGTCTTGGTTCCATGAGCCTCTCTAGACATGAAAGATTAGAGCAACAGCTCTTGGTTGAAGGATTTGTAAAAGTCTTTTATTTCCTATTTATGCACATTATTTCTCTGCATAAAACAGAGGGATGCAAGGGATAAGGTGATTAGGATCTTCACTATCATTATCATCAAATAATTCACTGTTAACATTATTGTCAGCTTTGTTCAAAACGGCTTGCACACATGTGCTCCCAGCATTAAAATATAGTAATGTTTAGAGTTCATAATAACAAAATCTATTTATTGAGCTAATGTTTAAATTACACATTCTATTGTTTAAGGAGGAGGGAATACGAGAGCATGATCATGAAGAGACTCAATTTGAACATCAAACTCTCACCTCTAACAACCAATCTCTCAATGTCCAAATCTCTACCAAAAAATAATTGTTGCTTTTAATCCGACTCTTTATGAAGCTAACAAGAGTGTTTCTAGGATTATTTAACACATGATCTGGGATGAAAAATACACTCATTTTGCAAACAACACAAACTCAAATACATGAATATGTGAATGCAAAGATATTCTTATTTATACTGTATATTTTTTTGTAGCTAGACATGCTTGGAGCTTCATCTTTGAAATTAGTTGATATTTCTTTGTGTTCAATATTGTTCTTGGATTCAACCTATTCCATGTACTAGAGCCTTTAATATTTGTAGGTTTATTTAGAGCTTCTGCTAATGTGTGGTCTAAAAGACATGCCAAGTAGTACATCTGTGTCAGTCAATAGCTAGAAAGAATTCTCCATCTCACAAATTCTGTATAATAACTTTGCTTCTTTCTCATTCACCATTTCTTTTCCTCTGTGCTTCATCTGTATTGTCTCTTCTAACACCATCTATATTAGCCCTTTCCTCCTGGTGTAAACCAATGGCTTTTTACAGCTTTTGATGGGAAAAGTCACTTCCTAAGTGGGGTTAGAAGAATGATGGATATTTTGACATATTCTAGGCAAAGACTGTTTAGATAGAATCCATCGCCAATATTTAGTTTAGAGCTATGATTGTGACCTAGAGAACTTAATAACTAAAAATATAAACATCAAATGATAAACTATTGTTACAAGATTACTTGTATAATGAATGAACACATTTTACTTTTTAGATGGTATGATGCCAGAATATGTTTTTATCTATCTTCCAAGCACTCACAAAAGTAATGATAGAGCCAATGGAACACAGATTGAAGAAAGAATTACAGTGCTGTAGGGCTTAACTCTCACGGACAAGTGAAATATAAAATATACTGTGGTGTCCAAAAGTGCATGCCACTGCTGACTTTTCGCTACTTTTCTTTTGTGTTAAGCATTCATCTCTTTACTCTGAGGCATTCTGTCTCCACAAGAACACGGTTTCTCAGATTTCCTAACTCATGCCAATTGTAAGTCACTTTAGACGTCCTCTTTTCTCTGTTTTGACTTTGCAACTCTAGGATTATACTCTTCTGGGTGATTATTGTAGCATACATGACTCTAATAATTGTAAGGCCTGGGCCAGAGCATAGATGGAGTACTGAATATTTTATATTACTTGATCATTTTCTGTATTCAATATTGTTCGTGTTGAGTTCAATCCCTACTACCAAAGAAACAAAACAAAACAACAACAACAAAAAAAAACGGGCCAGGGATTTAGCTCAGCAGTTCGGTGGTCTGCCTTGCAAGCACAAGGACACAAGTTCAATCCCCAGTACCAAAACAAAACAAAACAAAGCAATATTGTTCTTGAATCAAACCTATTTCACAAACTAAAGCCCTTCTTCTAACATGAGGTCCCAAAGCCTTGCGAAAGGGCACAATAAAAACCTAGAAAGATTTCTCTCTATATATAAATAGTAATGTCTCTTCTTTGCTAATAAACCTTTTCTTTATAATAGAATTATTACAAATCAAGCAGAAATTGTTAAATAAAATGTTTTTTATCCTACTTTGACAAAACTTTATATCATCCTACTTTGACAAAACTTTACAGTAATCAGGATGGTCAGCTACAATATTAGTTTTGGAGCTCCTTAGGAACATGGTGTGGATGGAATAGGAAGAAATGGCCCTCAGCAGGTAGCATCTGCTCCACCCAATTCTGTCCTGAATTGTGAGAGGTCTGCATGCAAGGGAGTAGAAACACTGGCCACTTATCCAGCATCTGTGTACATACTCTTCAAAATCACATGACTGGTCCACCAATGCTTCATAAATGTGTAAAAATTGATTGGGTGGTCCACTGTTGAAGGGACAGAAGGAGTAAGATGATTTCACAGGCCTCGACTAAGCTGTGATTATTCAGGAATCACAGTGCTTGGGGTAGGAAACTGAGAGTGCAGACTCCAATGAATATTTTACTTGAACTCACAAACAGCCTAGTGGTGGAGGGCATAGCCAGAAAAGGACCAAAGTGCTCAAGAAATACATTGAATCCTCATAGTTTGATTTTTTTGATGTTTTGACTTTTTTAAAGTATATTCTTGCAGTATATAATGATTATTTTCATGATAAGGGTTAGTACATTTACATAGCACATTTTTCCTTTCCCTCCACCCCTTTTATTTTTCCAGCATTAGATTCATTTATAAGAGTTTATAAAGTTTTATATATATATATATATATTTTTTTTTTAAAGCAGACTAATAAGCATAAAATGAGTAAGACAATTGCACTAGTTCAAGGCACACTTTTAGATCAATTGTGCAGATTGCTGTTAGCTTGAACCTAGACTACACCATAAAAGATCAAGAGTATGTACAGGTAAAGCTATTGTGATAATCTAGATGAGGAATAATAGTGGGTCAGGTGGTAGCAACAGATGACAGAAATGGTGGAATTCCTGATCGTTTTGTGAGGAGAATAAGTAGCATGGATTGCATTTGCTGTGTGAAGGCGAATGAGTATTTTGGCCTGAAAATCAAAAAGGATGGATTAATCTCAACTGGGCTACTTAAGGTTTCTGGAGGGATGGGGCAAGAAAGATAGTTCCATTTTTGATAGGTGTATCTGAAGAGCATATTAGACATCCAAAAGTGGATATTGAATAGTTGGATTTATGAGTCTGTTGTTTAACAGAGAGAATAGAGATACATTTTAGAGATCATCAAATTTGAAACAGGCTAAAATTACTAAAGGAATAAGATAGAGGAAAAAGGTGAAGACTGGTGTTTTTTAGATGCTTTAGCACCTTTATATTATTTTTGGTTTTTCATTAAGTTAACATATACTGACATAACTGTTGTGATTGTCTTGATCATTTTTCTAGGAAATGATAACTTTAGATGAAACGCAAAGCCTTTTAATGACTGTTTTGTTTAAAATATTTCACATCTTTCAAGTAATTGATATTACAGACATCTAAAATTTAAATAGTAGATAGTAAAGAGAAAAAATGTGGTTATAATGAATTTAGAGGCAATGATCAGTTTTTTTATTTTTATTTATTTATTTTGTTTTGTTTTGTTTTGGTACTGGGAGGTTGAACTCGGGTCTTTGCGCTTGCAAGGCAGGCCACCAAACCGCTGAGCTAAATCCCCGGCCCAATGATCAATTTTTTAATGCATATTGTTTATAAATGTGTTTCCCATAGATATAGAGGGCTAATGTTCTTTGATAAATGCGGCAGAAACATAACCATTAAACAGAAGCATAACCATTAAAATCTGTCCCAAAGTCTACAAACTAATGCAGCACTGTTTTACTTGTGATAAGCTTACCTATTTGCTTTTCATGTAAAAATTGATAGCTATGTGTCCTTGTGTAATTGTACTCTTATCAGTGAATGAGACCTCTATTCCTTTAACTGTATTCCAGTCTCAGGTATGAGAAATGTCTCACACAAGAAAATCCATCATTTTGTTTTCAACACACCCTTGGCTTTTTAAAATGATTAAAACAAAAAAAAATGATTAAAACTTACACTTCAAAAGAGACCACTTTGTGGTCATGTATAATATGAAGATAAATATGGTGTGGAATAAGAATGTGATGTATAAATTAGTATATTAAATTTAAAACTGAAAATTAGAGTTAAATAATTCATTTAATTTGAATAACTACATGCACATACTGACAAATTGATGTAATTTTTTTTTTTAACACAGAGAATTGTTTGTATCTTTTCAGTCTATCCGAGAAGTCACAGGCTATGTATTAGTGGCTCTTAACCAATTCCGTTACCTGCCTTTGGAGAATTTACGGATTATTCGTGGGACAAAACTGTATGAAGATAGATATGCATTGGCAATATTTCTAAACTACAGAAAAGATGGAAACTTTGGACTTCAAGAACTTGGATTGAAGAACTTGACAGGTAAGGAGTGTTTAAAAAATAGCAAATGTACTTTTACTATGAAGAAAATATGCAGACACTTTATTTGTGGTTACTGTGGAATGTGTATAAAGAGGAACACTACAAAACATTTAGATGTCTACTATTTATTTTATGAGAAATGCTGCCTATGCTTTTATTCACAAATTCTGTAAGTGCAGTTTGGAAGATACCAAAATACCATATCTCAGCTGAACAGAAGTACACTCTAAGGTACTGTTCAGTGACTGAAAACTAAGATATAAAGCAGGTTTAAGAATACTCTTTGGTGGTCTCAGAAGAACAGTGGACCATATCATCAAATCTCTGCAATAACAAGAGCTTAGTAATACTTAAAACTTTATATCTAGTTCAGTTAATCTTCACCTCTTTGCACTTATATTTAGAAAACATATCTAATTTATCTAATTTATTTTATTCAGTAGCTGACTAAATGTTATGTTATTCCTTGAAGTGGTTCAATATCAACAGTTATTTTTTTATCTTAAGCTTGAAGATACACAATACTAGAAACCTAGAATTATTATGGAATTAATGTCATATCAATTCATATAGTTCATAAAGGATCTGATAGAAGATATTTTGGCATAAATTTTATCAGGTACTCCATGGGAACAAGGAATATTATATAACCAAAATTAAAATGATCTATGTATATTTACATCCAAATATGTAGTGACTTTATATTATCTTGAGTCCATTCCATGATGATAATGTTTCCTGATGATGAAAATTAGACATGTTAGAAGTATTGCCTTATTAAAATATTAAATATGAGAACAGGTTAACAAAACTCAACTTATTGAAATTGTTTGTTATATATTAATAATGACTAGAATATATAGTCTAAAATTGAAATTAGCTTCATAGTCTGACATATGAGATAAAATTGGGATATATTGGGTGAAGAAAGGAATACTGATTAAGTTATTTATTTAGAACATGATTGCTACAAAATTGGTGTAATAATGGTAAATGCAAATTGTCAGAATTTATAGATTCCTTCATAAACATGTTATTTTCTTTCTTTCAAAGATAGTCTTACTATTGCAGATTTTTAAAAACTAAATTGCTATCTACAATAAATAATGATAGAAGAAAGAATTCTGGAAATGAAATGGGTAGAAAAAAATTGAATGATTGAAATTAGGAATCTAAAAATAATATAATCCAGTAAAGTGTAAGAAACATCATGTTTTTTTCATGTTTTTCTCTGATTAAAGAAAAAATGAGCCCTTATTCTCTGAAAATTTTGTAATATGTGAATCCTGTTTTTATTCTATAAAATGTGCTATCTTAAGTTTTCCATATATTAAAATAGCCTTTAAAGAGTTGCCATATGTAATTCCATATCTAAATATGTACTACTAAAATATTAACAAAAGCTATTTAATCAAAATTATTCTAGCTTTGTGAAATAGAATGAAAATATTCAAAGGTGAAGGGGAACTAGGTAGGGGGGTAGGGAGAAGGAAAGAAAAGAAAGAAAAAGTGAGAAAAGAAAAAAAATGGAAACAAAATCTTTGCAAATAGGGAGGGGTGGAAGGGTTGAAGGGAGGGCAGGGGAATGGGGAAAAAATAAGAAACAAGATATATCATATACATGTACAAATTCCCAATGATGAATGTGACTGTGATGTATACCTAAAATGCACCAATAAACCTAATGAATTAAAAAATATGCTAGCTTTAAACATACCTTAACTATTGAATGAATTCATACCAGGTATTATAATTATAACTGTTGTTCAATTATTGTCTTACCAAAATACAACACTACTATATCAAAAATGTTATCCTATTCTTTGTCAGGAACCCTGATAATATTTTCTGGTGCCCTTGTACAGGTGGATAATTATGGATTATGAGTTTGTTGCTTAGAAAAATCTATATTTATTTGATTTATTATTAATTTCTGTTTCGAACATGAATTAATAAACTATGCTATAAAATACATGGTGGAAAACTAGAATAATTTAGAAAGCTTTCAGAAACTGTATTTATTAGGTATTTGACAATTATATGCCAAAATTATACTGTAAGAGGGATTCTAGTCTCATGGAATTTGTTTTAGGTAATATGATACTTCATTTCTGACAATTTTAAGTTACATAGCAAACATGAATATATTTGTATGCAAGAATACATGACAGAGAAGGACAAAAAACACCTGTTTATATGAAAGGAGATTTCAGGAAACACTTGTCTAACATAATATCATAAAAATTTAAATATTCTAGATGGCCTGGTAAAAGTCACAAATATCCATTGAAATTAGCTTCAGATGAGAATAGTTTTGTGTTTTGGAAGAATGTTTATCCTAAGTTTCTTATGTGTTACATAAACAAGCTCATAATTTTAAAAGAATTTGTTCTGAGTGTGGGGCCACATAGCTGGTCCTAATTGTATGCTAAATAGAAAACCCGCTTATTAGTAAAATATCTCAATGCAGCAACCTAGCACACTATATAATTTTTCAATCAGCTCTTAAAGGACTGGCAACATCAACAAAGTAACACAAGTTGTTGGGCCTCATCTGAGACCTGTGGAGTTGGAAACTTGAGGGATAGACCACAGCAAATTGTGTTTAATTATCCCCAAGTTATTTTGCTTATTAAGTCTGAGAAACATCCTATTGTCATTAATAAACAGTATGTTACCAAGAAATGATAACACACTGTCTAGCTAACCTCCACAATCTTAGTTGACACAAATAATTTTCATTCATTTATCATCTTGTAGAGAGAGGAAAAGGATAGGGCAGTAATAAGTTTTCAAATGATAAGAAATATACTGTAGGTTGCAGTCAGAATAGAATTAAACAGTGGGAGTCTGGATGAAAATGTGTGCATAAAATGTTTAAACATGGGGAAAATACTGAAATACACATTCTGTATCACCATTCTACCCAATACCAACTTTGGATATGATAAATCAATATAAGGACAGTAATAATCCATAGAGAATTTTCTTCTTAAAAAATTTGTATTTTTACATTCTCAAGTTCACTCTCTGGTAGTGGTGTTGGGGGTGAGAAGCATATGTAGTGTTCAAATGAGTAATTTTCAAATTAAAATTTCAGTGTTTTATGAAAATGATTGTTTGTAGTTCTCCTGAAACTTTGTTTTGTTTTGTTTTGTTGTGTTGATATTAGAACAGAATGCCTTTAGAACAGCACATTTCCTTCCTGCAAGCTCTATCTTCTTGTAAAACAGATATGCAGTTAACATGAGGACTGCCATATTCAGTAGTTAATGGTTGCATGCTCTGTAGACTTGCCGCTTGAAGAGTTTTATTAGTTTGGTGTTCATCAAAAGTTGTCCCATGGCCTTCTTACTAGTTCAGTGGGCAGCATGTCAATCTTATCCAAGAACTAAAGACATTAATTTATTTTGGTTACGTCCAAAGGCAAGAAAAATACTTGGACATCTTCTCTGGCTAAACAGTAAACCTTTTTACCACCTCCGCTCACATTTCCCTGGTCCATGATGAGTGGAGTGAGAAAGGATAGTGAAGAGGTGGTAGACTAAAAATAGGCTACCGATCTAACCAGGAATGGGGAACTTGTCTTGACAGCTTCTAGCGATTCTGTTGCCATGGTGGCATTCTTTCCTGGCCAGAGGAGAGATGTAGTTTTATTAGTTTTCCATTTAGGAATATAATCATCTGTTCATCAAGAGGTTGTTGGGCATGTTTCTGCTGCATCAAAAGAGTGCATAGGTGGCTGGAGAGGAATACATCGGATCTTTGTTAAGGACTGTTGCAGGTGATCACTCCTGGTGATGAAGTCTGGCTGATTTTTTTCTTAGCTTTTCAAAATCTGAGCCAACGTTGAATATTAAATTTGCAACTTAGCACCCGTTTCTCACCATTATCTTCGTAATTTTTAAAATTAACTTTGGTTTGACCAAATCTTAAAGAAATTTCACTCTTTAGGAAATAACAGCACTCATTTCTCTCTCTTCTAAAATTTATAAAATCACCTTACTTGCTATAATGATGAGTAATGTTAAAGAATTTCATCTATATATTATATTTCAGATATAAAGAAATGTAAAATGAAGGAATGTAAGATATAACTGGTATCTACTGTATTTATTCATAACCCATTTATAATGGGTAGGTGCAATAACCTAGGTACTAATTTGATACATGTTAGATATATTTATTATACAAAATTTCACCTTGAATATTTTAAATTTTACTTTGCAAATTATGAGAATATCTATTTAGAATATCTATTACAACTTAGGATAATACAATATAATTTGTGTCTTTAGAACATTAGCTAAATTTATTTTCAAACTAATACATTAGTATCTTTTTGCTTTTACTTGATGGATATTTTAGTTATAATTGGCTAACTGTACTGGTTCTTCTGAAATCATTATTTAGATGACAAAAAATTAAACAAAAATGAAATAATAATGTTATCTTGGGGATTCCTCAGTAATAACTCAAAGTATATATTAAATTTCCAAGATTCTGGTATAAAGTAAAAATATAATGTTTAAGAAATGCAGCATCTAAATGATGTAAAATTTAAAAGCTAGGGCATCTAAACATGAAACTTGCATGCCTGCTTTTAAATATCCAGCTGTGGCCAGGCATGGTGGCACATGCCTGTAATCCCAGCACTCGGGAGGCTGAGGCAGGAGGATCGCTGTGAGTTCTAGACCAGCGTGGGCTACATAGTGAGTTCCAGGTCAGTCTCGACTACATAGTGAGACCCTGTCTCAAAAAGTAAAAACAAACAAACAAAAAAACAAAAACATATAAATATCCAGCTGTGATCAGTTAAAAGAGTATATCAAAAAGATGCAGTACCTTTTATCATTTAAGCTCCTATACCCTCCTTGACATTATTCAGTAATGATCATATATGGACTCCCTAATAAAAGTCAGGTCTAGTGGTGTGCAGTTGTAATCCCAGCACTTGAGAGGCGAGAGCAGGAGGATTGAAAGTTTGAAGCCAGCCTGAA